ATTTTTGCAGATTAAAGGGGAATGAAAAACATGGAGCCGGAAGGGAGTTCCACAAACGAGAAGTGCGAGAAAAGAAACTATTAGCATAGAATTTATGGTTGCATCTAGCCAGCTCAATCTCAATCTGCGCCTAAAACCAAAGTGTCTAGACAACATAGCGAAGAGCTCATTCGAACAATTACCATGAAAGTATTTATAGAAAAGGCACAGGGAGACAACTTTACGGTGGTGGGAAAGTGATTGAAGCCAATATGCCCGAACTGGACCAGTAACATTGCTGATTCTTGTTTAGATCTAATCAAGGCGCTCCAGATAAATAGCAGGAGCACCGGACCATATGTGGCAGCAATATTCTAAGCATGGACGAATGGTAGACCTATACATCCTCTTCAAATTAATTGAAACAAAACGAATAATTCATGTATTATATGTTTTTCGTATTTTTCCAATGAAACATGACCCAGTGCACATTTTAGTACTTCGTATCTCCAGTCCACAAAGTCGTTCCTTGAAGATTGACCATAGATTCTCGATTGGATTTGAAGAGAGTTGCCGGGCAAGTATATAGTAGATTGATTTGTTCACTGGTAAGGCTTGCCAGTGTCTTCGTGCAGCGTTACAATTTTAAACTTCCTTGGAGTAATATCCATCGCAGACAATGGCCGTAGGACAACTAACCGACAGTCGAGACAATAATGTCCGGACGTGATAAAAATCAGATGCAATCATGGATGACGCAATATTTTTCAAAGCCAAACCAATTTCATCATTTACTCCGAAAATAGATCTATATTCCTGCACACCACTGAAAATGACCTAATCGGAGGCAAAAATGGAAATCGATTACACCCTGTCACTCTAGTGACCGTGTAGTGAAAAAAGAAAAAGGAAATTAAAGCGGTTGTTTCAACTAATTTGAACAAGAGTGTAGATATGTAAGATGGATTCTTGAGAGAAAATTTGTCGCGCTCGGTACAGTGAACCGACTTTCTTAACAGCTAACCTATCAATGGATTCAATATAGTCTTTGCACCGGGAACATTAACCTGAGAAGGCGCAACAAGTAACTTTCTTGATGGTTAGCATCAGCCCCGTGATGATGACAGGCAAAGAGTCGTCTCTCAGATGATTAATGGAGAACAGTTTAGTAATGACGAATTGTCATCATTTGTAGAGGTAAAAGGAAATGGTATAAATTTAAACAGGGAGATATTTTCTTCTATTTTATTATGTAACTAACAAATGATTAATGGTGCATTACTCGCATGGCGTGTCTTATTACCGCCACTCCACTATATACTCGTCTTTCCTAGGTGGAAAATTGTTTCTTTTGCTCCCCTCCACTACACCACCTGACTCAGTGAAGGTGTGTAGCACGCGGTGTGACGCAGTTGTAGCTCGGTTATCATGGGCTGGCAGTTATCGAAAACCCGAGGTGACTAATGCAGGATTAAGAAAAGAGAGAAAATAAACTAGCATGTGTACATAGAACTGAAAAATAAAGGAAAAACCTTAAAACTAGGTGCCGCCATTTTTTCGATGAAAGACCAGCATAGCGTGATGAAAAATAAGGCCCCCAACTTAATAAAAAACATGCTTTATCGTCAAAATGTTTATGTTATTATTAAGAAGAAAAATGAAAGTTTTTAAGATTATTTTATTAAATTTTTTAATCCTTTCAAATACGTCCGAAATTTTGCTTAAATATCTTGTCTTTTTTTTTTTACGTCAGCAGTTGACGTAATATTTACGATTCGTGTTTTGGCGCCTTTTTTCATTGATTTAAAAATTCGTGCAAAAATCAAATAATTGTCGAATTTTAATGAAACTTTCGGCACTTGTCCACAAATGAATGAAATTATTTTGGAAACTTTTTTTAGAAAATCTTCGTAAAAAATAGATTTTTTTTACATATGTTAACTTAAACAACCTCCCACTCCACCCACTTTCATGAGTTTTCGAGAAATTAAATCTCAATCTCAAAATTGGTTTTATTAGATAAAGAATGTAAATGGAGAATGTAAATCATCAATTATTTTCAAACTACTACTCATTTCCTGAAAATCTGTTCCAAATCATAAACTAAAAAATGCAATAAAACAATGACATTATTTAATTGGAAAATCTTTTAATTGATTTTATAAATAAGATTTATTAAGGACAGTATTGCTTGAATAAAAAAAAATTCGATGAATAATGAATTTTTACAAGAATTGTTTTCATTTTAAAAATTTTTAATTATAAGTGAAAAACAAAACTATATTTACGAATCAAAAATTGAAATGTCCAATAAAAATCGTTTACACCCAATATATTTTTTTAAATTTTTAATTGTTTTATGTATATAAAAAGTTACATAACTTATCCCCTGTTTGAAAGTATGGTCGACCATACACGGCGAAATCAGAAAATAAGATCAATAACTATAGTAAATTTAAATTCAACATTCCTAAAATTAGATTACAGAGAATATTTCACAACATTACTGAGTACTTAAAAATTATATAAAAAATGCGCTCACCCATTATTTTCTTAAGTTATGTTGTAACAGATAAAGTCTCCGTAGAACAACAGTAAAGGTGTTGACAGATTTTATCATCAGTTGTTAAGTGATACGAGTGACAATCGATGGTGATGAGCGTGTAATCACCGCTACCGTTTGTTTTAAAAGTCCATTTCTCTGTTGTTTTAAACTTAAGTAAATAATTTTTTTTTCAAATCAGATTAATTATACTTTAAATTAGCTAATATTCCACAAATAAAGTTTCAAAAGAGTATTTTTAGAAGATTTCTAAAATCGATAATTAACTTTTGTTTACAAAAGTGCCAAAAATAGCCGACTTTGTGAAAGCGACCAAAAGGTTGAGATTCCAATCAATATAATTTCTAAAATACACCAGAGTATTTTGCTTACTGGAAATAGTAAATTGAATCATTTAGCTTTCAATTAAAGCTAGGAATGAAAGCTTTAAGAATTTTATTTTTTAATGTTAAAAATTCATTTTAAACCTTAGGCATCGAAAATTCAACGACGGTTCCTAAAATGGTTAGAAATAGTGTGTGTGTGTGTGTGTGTGTGTGTGTGTGTGTGGAGGATGGTGCGGGAGATGCATCACGTGACCGGGTGATAAGTCACCCTAGAAGGATAAGAGTGAAGAGAGAGAGAGAGAGCTTTTATAGCCCTTAAACAGCGCCACGTAATGGGTACCTTGGCAGACCAAGTGGCGATATTCCCAACAATTTGTCTCGGCTCCTCTTGGATCTTGTGATCTACCCTCGGGTATGAGTCGGTACGTTTTGCTTTTTGAAATCATGGCCTATACAGAAATGCGAGCATAAAATAGATCTGAAATTTTTTTTTCTAAAAACAAATACCGGAAAAATCGACAAGTTAATTTTGTGTGTGTGTGTGTTACAGTATACGTTGTAAAAAAATCTAAAAAATAAGTTGGAAATGTGGAGAGGCTAGAGAATTCATTGGTAGTCAGATAAGAAGCCAACAGTACACTTGTGGTACAGAAAAAAAAAGTGGTTTTAATTATAAAAGAAGGAAAGAAAGAAGGATAATAGATATCTAGAAAGAAAGAAAGAAAGAAAGAAAGGAAGAAAGGAAGGAACGAAAAAGAAAACGGATACGTTGTAAAAAGAAAGAAAGAAAGAAAGAAACAAACAAACAAACAAAAAACAAACAAACAACGAAACAAAGAAAGAAAACACATCCGTGGAAAAAAGAAAGAAAGAAAAAGAAAACGGATACGTGGAAAGAAAGAAAGAAAGAAAGAAAGAAAGAAAGAAAGAAAGAAAGAAAGAAAGAGAAAACAAGAAAACGGATACGTTGTAAAAAGAAAGAAAGAAACAAACAAACAAACAAAAAAAGACAGAAAGAAAGAAAGAAAAAAAAAACGGCTATGTGAAAAGAAAGAAAGAAAGAAAGAAAGAGAAAACAAGAAAACGGATACGTTGTAAAAAGAAAGAAAGAAAGAAAGAAAGAGAAAACAAGAAAACGGATACGTTGTAAAAAGAAAGAAACAAAGAAACAAACAAAAAAGACAGAAAGAAAGAAAGAAAGAAAGAAAAAAACGGATACGTGGAAAGAAAGAAAGAAAGAAAGAGAGAGAAAACAAGAAAACGGATACGTTGTAAAAAGAAAGAAAGAAACAAACAAAAAAAGACAGAAAGAAAGAAAGAAAGAAAGAAAGAAACAAACAAACAAATAACGGATATGTGAGAAGAAAGAAAGAATGAAAGAATATATAGTAAGAAAGCAAGACAGAAGTGGGTGTTTGGAAAGTAAGAAAGAAAGTAAGAAATCCTAGTTAATGTTGTGTATTTGTTTGAAAATCATTTGCTTGCAACAGACACGGAGGAGGGATGCATCAGCCGTTGTTTTTTTATGGATGGCATCCATAACTATTAACGTCACGGATAATGGAATCTTCAGGTCGATATCCAAATGCAATCAAGGGTGCTTTATTCATTTTGCACGAACGCCCTTCGGAAGGGCATAAAACCATTTCATCTCCACTCAGCTTTGCGTAAATAGTAGACTGGACTCTCCAGCCTTGAATGCAGAAGCTTTACTGAACTGAATTCAAATCCCCTGAGCACATTTTATAGACCGGGGTGGCTATGATCACATCGATTACATTTGCCCTGAAGAATGAGAATAGCGCTTCTTACACTAAAACTTTTTCTGTTCCTGATTTTATTCATAATGTCCTGGAACTCATCCTGTCACTGAAGCCGAATATATATTCCTTCATAATGTAGCATATGACTGACACCAAATGAAACCAGAACATACGTTTCGTCCATGCAAGACTATCAACGGATTTAGGTGCATTAGCAGGCTGACCAGAGAAATAATGTGATGTGCAGATTCGTGCTTAAGTCGAGGTCAGTGACTGGCGCCCACATGTAAACACGTGGTCGACCCAGCTGCGCCAAGGAGGTGCACGAGTGGAAAAAACCGTATGACAGATAAATATGTAACTACGCACCTAAGAAAGAAAGAAAGAAAAGAAAATGAAATAGATATGTGGAAAGAAAAAAGGAAAAAGTGGATATATGGAAAGAAAGAAAGAAAGAAAGAAAGAAAGAAAGAAAGAAAAAGAAAACGGATATGTGGAAAGAAAGAAGGAAAAAGTGGATATATGGAAAGAAAGAAAGAAAGAAAGAAAGAAAAAGAAAACGGATATGTGGAAAGAAAGAAGGAAAAAGTGGATATATGGAAAGAAAGAAAGAAAGAAAGAAAATGAAAATAGATATGTGGAAAAAAAGAAGGAAAAAAAAGTGGATATATGGAAAGAAAGAAAGAAAGAAAGAAAGAAAGAAAAAAAACGGATATGTGGAAAGAAAGAAGGAAAAAAAAGTGGATATATGGAAAGAAAGAAAGAAAGAAAGAAAAAGAAAACGGATATGTGGAAAGAAAGAAGGAAAAAGTGGATATATGGAAAGAAAGAAAGAAAGAAAGAAAATGAAAATAGATATGTGGAAAGAAAGAAGGAAAAAGTGGATATATGGAAAGAAAGAAAGAAAGAAAGAAAGAAAGAAAAAGAAAACGGATATGTGGAAAGAAAGAAGGAAAAAGTGGATATATGGAAAGAAAGAAAGAAAGAAAGAAAAAGAAAACGGATATGTGGAAAGAAAGAAGGAAAAAAAAGTGGATATATGGAAAGAAAAAAAGAAAAAAGAAAAAAAAAAAAATAGATATGTGAAAGAAAGAAGGAAAAAAAAAGTGGATATATGGAAAGAAAGAAAGAAAGAAAGAAAGAAAGAAAAAGAAAACGGATATGTGAAAAGAAAGAAAAAAGAATGACTATGTAGTGAGAAAACATGACAGAAGTGGGTGTTTGGAAAGTAAGAAAGTGTTGTAGAGTAGTTTTCACAGTGGAGGCTTGTATTTCGCTAAGTCGGTCCTAAAAAGGGTCCGACGTACAAAACGTTAGGAACTTGAAATAATAGTTAATGACGCAGCAATCTAGTTGGGGTGGCTGATACTTCAATGTCCGACATCGACTGTCTCACTCAACTCCACTGAGCCCTGGCGACCGCTACTACTACTATTACTTATTATGTGTGGGAGAGTCTATTAATAATAGAATAGGTATGATCTAGTATAACAGAAAGAAAGTATGAAATCCTTTGCGTAAATAGTAGAGTAGACTAGACTCTCTAGCCTTGAATGCAGAAGCTTTCCTGAACTGAATTCAAATCCCCTGTGCACATTTTAAATGAATTATCTATCCCTTCTTAGGATTAGATTGATGGAAATGTTTACAGCACTTTTTGACGAAATATTTCCTTCATATAAATTCATAAAATCATTATTCAGTCATCAAATTGTCTCCCCCCGGTTTTGTGAGATCTTGTGTCATCTGTCAGAGGAATTATATGTCCTTCTAGAAAAAAAAGAGCAATTCTGGTTTTGATTCAAGGAATTCATTGGCACCTTTTCAATTTCTGACACTAGTTACAACAGTTGAAAAGAGAATGCGTTCAACGTAGAAGGAAACAATGTTAGTCTGAATGAAGAGGACAAGTATCAGAAAATATATTGCATGCAGAAGAACTTCCCATTCCGGACCAAGGATCATTTGCTGTGTCGTATTTGCAACTTGAGGACAGGCATTGTCATTCAGCAAATTCGCCGACTGATTTTCCTGTCTAGATTAAGGTTGTGTATTTTTCTGAAGAAAAATAAATGGTCAGTCCCTTGTATCGCTCTAGAAAGCACCTGAATCCTCCTGGTATGCCCTATTTCTACAACAGATTAAAAATGGAGTATCGCTGCCATATCTGGGCTGGAACTGTTCAATCCTCACTTTCACCGTCGGCAGAGTTCAAATGCGTCAATGCGACCAGACCAGATCCAAAATGGAGTATTGCCGCTATATCTGGCTGGAACTGCTCAGTCTTCATTCACTGTTGGCAGACTTCAAATGCGTCTATCACCCCTTACATCTGGCCACCTAACTCTCTGTTGTAGAGTAGTTTACACAGTGGAGGCTTGTATTTCACTAAGTCGGTCCCTGAAAAAGTTCGACGTAAAAAACGTTAGGAACTTGAAATAATAGTTAATGACGCAGCAATCTAGTTGTGGTGGTTGATACTGTCCGACATCGACTGACTCACTCAACTCCACTGAGCCCACTGGCGACTGCTACTACTACTACTTATTATCTGTGGAAGAGTCTATTTACAATAGAATAGGTATGTTTCGGTATAACACTCTCCAAACTGTAACCCTCTTGATTTTTATGTATGAGACCAACAAAATTCCGTGTAGCACCAAAGATGAACTGAAGGCAAGGATTATCACTGCATTCACCAACTTAAACAAGGAGACCGCCCAGAAGATTCCGTTGTCGTCTGGAGACTGTGGTTGAAGCCAATGGCGATTTTATTAAAGAAATTTACTCTTGAGTATTTCAAGATATTTTTGTGTCATTTTGGTAAATATATCTGTTAAAATGAGATGTAATTTTCATTTTTGTGTAATTTTGACGACAATTTATCCATTACACCCTGTATATCTGTAAAAGGAAAATATGAACAAAAAACAAAAGGAAAATTTATCTTAGCCGACGCATTTCGTTCTCTGATGGACTTTATCAAGGCAAATGCAAGATCTGATTACATTATTTGCCTTGATAAAGTCCCCCAGAGGATGAAACGCGTCTGCTAAGATAAGTTTCCTTTTTACCTTTATTCATATATATATATATATATATATATATATATAGATAGATAGATAGATAGATAGATAGATATAATTGCAGTTAGAAGATTTTTAAGGTACGCTATATTTATAGGTTAAAGTGCTACGTATTATGGAAATCTAAAAGTGGACAATATTATGTAAATTTAAAAGTGAACATTGAAGTCAACACCCAGAGGCGACAGACTCTTTCATGGCAAACGCAATCGTCAGGTCATGACGATCGTATTTATCATGAAGCAGACTGTCAACTCTGGGTGTTGGACTTCAGTGTCCACACACACACACACACACACACATATATATATATATATATATATATATATATATATATTACAGGTATATATATATATATATATACACATACACATATAGTACAGGTAATATATATATATATATATATATATATATATATATATATATATATATATATATATATATATATATATATATATATATATATATATATAGTACAGGAAATATATCCGTTGGTATATAATCCAGGTTTAACATGAGGTAATTTTGACTTTTTGCTACCAACATGATGTAACTTGGGATTTTTGTTTAATATATATATATATATATATATATATATATATATATATAGGGGAAAAGTAGGTGCATTTCAAGAAATAATTTAATACACAAAGAAGTTTGTGTAAAAATGTTTGTCGAAGCGTAGAAGGTAGGCGTGAAAGCTGTGTAAATTATGATAGACTCTAGTTTGCGTTGATAAAATTTTCTCTGTTTTTGTATTGTGTTATTGTATATAATAAAATTGAATTGTATATGTAATAACTCTTAATACACATTTAATTGTATTTAATCAAAATAATGGTTATCATTTATTGTCCACCTACTTTTGGTTCACCCTAGATTTATGTGTGTGTGTCGGACATTTTAAGTAACCGGTTCTAGAATAATATCTGATTATTACCTATATTTAGCAAAAACAACGATGAAATAGTCTAACGCCTATTGGTCCAGCCACTGGAGTCAAAAAGCAATAAAGAACACGAATTTCAACCGGAATGAACCAAAAAGCGAAAAAAGAAAAAAAAAAAAAAAAGGAAAATTGTTTCGGGTTGAAAAATAAAACTGTCCACGTAAATCAAGTTGTTAATGATTCGGATCAACTAAACAAACCTGTCTAACGACTGTAATAATAAATCCTGCTGTCCGACATTTACAGGCCTGTTATTCTTGCATTTTATTTCATTTCACCAATGCAGAAATTATTTTGAAAATTAACTTTTAATCTACGTTTGACCTTAGGCAAGTGAAGAGTGACATTTTTTCTTGTTTCTACTTAAATTAAATGAAAGACAGTAACAAAAAATACTAAAGACTTCACGGGATATGGAAACTGTTAGAACTGTTCTGGGGATTCCATGGAAAGAATTAGTTTTATTTTTATTATTATTATCTTTGATTTCTAGCGTTTAGACATTTCTTTCGGGGCCCCGCCCAGTGACCTAAGGTTAGAAATGGCATCATGACACTTTCCACTGACAAAAAAAAAAATTACATAGATAAAGCCCTTCGTAAAGTGTGGGCTGTACTTGTCAGAACAATTTTTTGTATCTCCTTGAGGCATGGACTTCCAGGAATCCCTTCAATTAGTCTACTGAAATCTTTTCCAACCAGTCCTAGGGCTCCAACTACAACAGGGATTGTTCATGTTCCCATATGCCACATTTCAAGATTTCTATTTCAAGGTCCTTGTATTTTGACAGCTTTTTGAATATCTTCAAAGATACATTGCAGTCCGCAGGGACGGCCATATCAATAAGGAGGCACTTTTTTTGTTTGTGGTCTTTAATAACAATATCTGGGCGGTTGGTTTTGATTGTTCTGTCAGTGTGTATTGTGTAGCCCCATAGAATTGTAACAGGTCCTATCTCCGTAACCGGGTCTGGGTGGTGTTCATACCAGTTTCTTTCACTTTCCTTCCTGTAGAAGTTGCAGATATTGGCCCACTCTGTCATGCTGGGTTTTATATTCAGTGGGTGCCAATATCGTGCAACCTGATACAAGATGATCAATCGTTTCTGGATATTTATCACAGAATCTGCATTTTGGGGTAACACTTATTATTATTATTATTGTTGGGAGAGAAATAGAAAGGTAAATCTAAAATCAATCTTATCAGGGAAACAATAATGATGGTAAAAGGCGAAGAAATTTCAACCGTTAAATAAAAAAAAAATATTATTATTGATATTCTTCGTACATGCCTGGGTGGTCAATGAAGAGTTCAACGATTCAATAAACGAGTAGATGGTCGGAAAGGTTTAGGATCTCCTTGTTCAAATTGACTCTTTTTTTGCAAATATTTTGAGGATTTTGCTTAATGTTCTTATTTTCTTGATTTCCGATGAAAACTTGAAAAATTTCCAACACATTTCAGTGAAATTTTCACTTTCCAAAATTATAGTTCAGATAAAAGTGAAAAAAAAGATTTCATTTTAAACTGGCGCTAAGTGAATATGGTTTAATCTGGTCGATATCTGAACAGAAAGTTTTATTCACATTTATTTATTAGCTTACTAGCTTAAAAGCCGCACACCAGCGGACTTTCAAGCAAGCTCCTCCGGACCAAAACTAAAGGGACCATTTGTCCAGCTTAAAAAACAGCAATCATAATTTTGAAGAAATAACTTCAAATTCCTCAATTCATTCATGGAACTTCAAAACCTCGCTTTAACTCTGATTTGAGTTATAATTCCAATTCCGGTCAAAAGACCAATTTGGGACGAATACCGGATTTGGGACGAATGCCGGATTTGGGACGAATGTCGGATTTGGGACGAATGCCGGATTTGGGCGCGAAATTCCAATTCAGGTTGAAAGCTGAGTTCTTCAAATCAGAAACTCTGCGGAAGATCAAAACTTCACTCCACGAAACCTCTGATTCCTTGACATTTTGAAGAAATAACAGTTTCGCAGATATTTTAAATTAAATTTAAAACTAAAATATTTAAACCTAGAACACTAACCATCAATTAAAGTTACACAACTACTAACCATGGGTATATCATACACGATTTTGAAAATATCAAAACAAATATTAAATATAAATCTTTATTTGAAATATTTTACATGCAGACACTTCAA